ACGCTGACTACTGTTCCGAGTAATTCCCAAAATGAATCTTACAGTCTCAATGCTACGTATTTGGAAAAAAAGCAACCTTTGAGCCTTTCTTGACCATTGTTGTGTAGTGCTGAACATTGTCGAACTAGATTTGTATCCCATAACTTTCCAGCCGATGTCTTTTCGTTATCGAAGTTATGGACAATTTTGATTAGAGGAGACGATATATTAATATTAACAATATCCAATCAATATAAAGCGAAATTCAATATTAGGCTTTCAAGTTGTTTGAATGCTTGAATGAAAAATGAAAGTGCATTTGTTCTTGAAACCGACTTCGACCCCATAATGTAGCCACAAACATCATCATTTCTAAACCTCCGTTAACCTAAATCTTACCTTTTTCTGACCAACTATATCCTTATAATGATTATTTCTATGCGCTCAAAGTAGAACACAGGGCTTCAACAGCACCTCTTAACTTTGTCTTATTTTCGTGGTCCTCCTTAGTAGGCCCTACAACTCTCAATAGCTTCTCTTCTCGCGATCTCCATCATGTCATCCCCCGACACCCCACCCGTCACCTCCCATTCAAGTTCCACTGGAACAAAGAACAGGAGCGCGATGTCACACGATGTCTTCTCGGCGTGTGTCGGACTCATCTCCAGTTTCTTCAAAATATCTGCTGAGTGATATGTTCTTGGTTAGTTCGTTCCCACAGTTTCTTTTGCTGATTTCTTCTGGCTGTTTGGCTTTCAATATGGAGCTAGGACAGCTATATGAGAATATTTCGAGCAAATATTCGGCAATTTCAGCTGCCTTTGAGAGGATGGATGCTCTGTTCTAGTCTCAGTAGGAAGATAATCACTCCTTGTGAATTTATATACACTGCACTGACGAGTATCGACTAAGGCTAAACATACATAATTGAAAATGCTGATAGCAATCAATAACCAAGTGATAACCACAATTCTCTTTTTAATCTTCAGTGTTATTCATTTCAGTGAATTATGCGCCACTACTTATTTTATCTGTAAGTAATACCGATAATAAATGCAAATTTCCGTTCCAACTGAGAATAGACATTTTAATATAATAAATGGTAAAATATAGAATCTTATCTGGTTTTGACTTTAAACTAGACCTAATAGGAATATCCTGATGACCTGAACACAATGTATTTGAGTTCTATTCCGTACTGAACATTTCCAGTTAGTTGTATTCACCTATCTATATCTATCTACTTTTCTCTGGTGAGGCGTGAAGCCTCCTGAAAAAAACAAACATGAGAATATGTAGAGATTGTATGTCTGCTAACTTATTAGTCTATGCTGAACTTGACGACACAATATGAGCAGGATATATTGTAAACGAAGGCCACTTTCAAACATCTGCTATCAAAGTCATAGCTGAGTAGATAATTCTGACATTTATACCTATAAAATAGTCACAGTTCTGCGTTTGAATTTCAGAAAAAAATTTCCGCGGTTAAATTCATCCTGCACTCTTGTTTTAATGATTTCACCATTAGTTGACATCGGTCAGAGAATCACTGAGAAACATGAGGCTACTGGATGGCTGTTTCGTGCTAGTTCGAGGCTCTTCTTTAGTACGCACCCACAGGAGTTCGAATCCAGGATCTTCCAGTTACAAGGTGAGCTCTCGGTTTCATTTTCTGTAAAGAAAGTATTACCCCTTTACCTTTATTATTTAGCGTTTGTAATAAACGTATACCCATTTGCCTTCTTTATGACAGCCAGCTTAAAATCACTGATGAATCAGAGTGAAATATATATTTGAGCATAATATCGTGAGCATGATATGCTACCCATAATTACTCTGAGTAAATTTCTCAAATTTTGAAGCATTGCAAATCTGGATAATGAACCACTCACTAAAGCAGAAAGAGGTGAATGTATTCCATAACTATTTTACTCAACCGGTATGAATATTCAGTCATGTTTAATTCAATAAAATACAATTCTACCAGGATGTGCTAACGTGTAGAATAAATCAAAACTGAAGAAGGAAGATAAGTTTATCCATACCCAACAATTTCATTTTTCGAATAAATTTAATTATTACATAAACCGTTTTCCGCGGAAATCAGGAAAGAAATACTAGGTCATTCGAAATCACATTATTAAACCACACATTATCAAATCGCTTAAACGACCATTTCTGACGTCATGCAGTGATCAACTAGATTCTAAATCAGTGGATGAAAGAGGCAGTGAATGACTCACCAACTTATGCACTTACAATCAACCATCAGTCATATTTTTCAAGGTGGGATTTTAAGGGCTAGTGAAAAAATTACTTAAACGCAGTCCAGTAGCTGCTGGTTATTTCACAAGTAATGTTTGCAGTAAAGCGACAACAATAATCACCCACTGGTGGCCGAACCCAGAACCCTCCAGTTACAAGGCAAGCTCGTAGGCTTTATGAAACTGTCCATGAATTCCATCTTCTGCCGATTCGCGACTTGCAGATTGGTTACCAGCAGCGAAATTGGCAGATGAATGCGTGCTGTTGATTAGTCCTCGACTAAGACGTAATAACAATCTAGTGCTGTCTGGTTTTCCAATGGTTCTGTGACTGAATTTAGCTAGTGACTAAACCTACTGCCCTCTTTGTCTCCTGCTAACATATTCACACATATGCAGATGGTAATACTGAAGCTTTTATTCAAGAGAAGCCGCATATTGCTATCTTAAGTCTTCAGTAGTATTTCTCTAACCAAAGCCTCAGTTTTCACCTGGATTCTCGACTACCCACAAGCCTTCACTTCTTCTTCACATTGTCTTTTACACGCGACTCCCGTGGCTCACATTCAACTGGTCACATCCCATTCGGATCCGTCTCCACAGCCTGAATGGTATGTGATATCAATCAATAAACCCCCAGTTTATGTCCATTCCATCTCTAGTTCATTCTGCATATTCTTTGGGTAATAGTTTGTTGGTTGGTTCATCGCCGGAGTTGCATTTCGCGTGCTTATTTTCTCAGGAAAGTCATTCGATATTCAATATCAACTGAAGACACATACTGGCGACAGTCTGCAGCTGTTTGTGACGCGTGATCTCAAATTCTGTGAGACATATGGACATTCGTGTTAAAAATGCATACCTTTCGCCTTGTGCTCAGTGCTTTGGTTGTTGACACCTCAGTCTCTTACTGGTTTCACTTTTTGGTCGATTGAGTTTCATTGGTTATTATTCAAAAGATTATTATTCAACTTCGTTGATCCCTTCTGAATAGCGAATCGATCGCCCCATATAACAGATACCACTCTTCTCCACTCCATTGTTCAGTATGTTGCAGGTTATGCTAAGATTCGCCTCTCACTGTTAATCCCTATGCTGACTCATCTTCTGTTTCTTAATCATTCCCCCTCTGTCAGCTTACAGATGTCCGTAGATAACCAGTCTTCGTCTTACCTCCTCTTTTTGTTGCCTTAGATGTCAACACAGATTTCCTTCCACATCACTTTCAGAGAGTTCCAAAGTTCTCTCCTTCAGGTTTCCTTGGTGATGTTACTTAGTGTTTCTGATCTTTTCCTGATTATTGCAGTGAAGCTGTGCTCTATTGATTCATCCTTCGATTTCTGTCTACCTCGAGGTTTCCATCATTGGATGGAGATCTGAACATGCATTTTCTGCTCCCACACTCAATATTTTGACTAATTTTCTGCGTCCTCACCTTCTCCAAATTTAGATGCAGTCTATTTGAATTTCAGTGGTTCATTCTAGTAGAAACCATGTCGCTTTGTGTATATATATCCTTGTTCTTGTACCCTTTGATTCCGTTCACCGGATCACTTGGTGTACAGATGTCTGTCCTCATTTATTCAACCCGATCTCTCTCCACCCATTATGAGTTATTCCCCTATGTTATCTGGTCGTAGTCAGACATTCATATCACATACGTAGGACTTCAATACCATATCTCCAATTTTTCAGTGCAATCTAAAACAATATATTCACATATTCCATACACCTACTCATACCGTCGATTTCACTGAAAAATGACATTTCGGTCGGTTGACTTTACCTGGTCTTTTACCTACTGGCATCATTCGTATTATACAATCCCAGTAGCGCCGGTTTTGCTGTTCGCCCGCCTAATCTTGACTTTTTTCCAGGCTTAGGACAGGGTAGATGAGCTTGAGTAACAATTATAATAATCGCTTTACTGCAAGCATTACTTGTGAAATGTATTTAAAAACCCACAGACATGAAATAAACTACAAGCTTCCGTATTTAATGCTCCCTTTGAGGAAACAGGCGAATTAAATAGCTTACAAAAGCAATACATTTATTGTTAAAACTTTCTCAGTGAAACCCGCTAATATTCAAATAGGATAGAAGCCTACATGGTGCATGAACCATATAAACCATTAAGGCGTATTCAATACAAATTCTAGTGTCAGTAACTTTCCTCAAGAAGATGGCCACACTAGTCATTCGAATTCACCTCATAGAAAAACCCACTTGTTCGAACGTGTTCTCTTTCATCTGACAGAATTTTTGATGTATATTATATCTTCCTAATGAATCGAGACACAAATGTGATTCACTGTACTCTTGTTTTCACATACAGTCTCCTGACACAACAATTCTTAATTAATAGACTCTTTAAGTAATTAAAATGATGATTATATTCTCAGCCTCAAAGTGACTCATTATTACGTTACATTTACTGAACTCTAACTGTCATGTGTGTTCTACATAACGGCTATAATAAACGAGTGATTCAACAGTTACTTCAATTAATCGCGGTATATTGTTTCTGCCAAATGGTAAACAGGTCACATCAACACAACGGATACGTGTTTTCTGAAGACCACTTATTCAATAAGTTTCCATTCAATACAACTATATATAAATAGGTAAGTCACAACTAACTCTTATAACTCGTCTTTAAGCAAGTAAGTTTCTGTACATTAATGCTTATCGGTTTGTTAAATGAGTATGAGTGTATGTGTTACGCTTGTATCTTTTCTTATTTCAGTAGACACAATGAAGACTATTGTGTTAGGACTGTTGGTTGTCATCTGTATTCAGTGTACATTGTCATACGTTCATAATAAGGGTAAGTCACTTGAGTACTGAACTGATTTTGTCTTATACATCATGGTGTATTTCACTGTTGAGTTTGTAATAATACGATTGATTTCAAATTTGATGTTTTTGAGAGAAGCTGCCTCACTCAGAAAACCGCTTAAAGACAAACAGCTATCGAACAGCTATCCTTTACTGATTATGTTTCTTATCGAATAGAGTGGGTCATGTGGCTGAGAGGAGAACTAACCAGGCTATTGAATCTTAAGGGTGATCATATTACTCTTCTAACAATACCGTCAGAACCACGTCTTAAATAATCAGACATATTATGAAAATGTTAATATATTAGTGTGAAAAGAGGTCAACAAAGTGATATTAAATTGTAAAACATCTTTTCAATACTGACCCTTATATTTCATATTCATAAAACTCTGGAATCAGATACTATAGTCACACTATTCATGATTGAACTTTAAGGTGAAATCATGCTCACACTTATGAAATCCATTTATGATTTTCGAAATTCAGATACTTATAGGCAGTCAACTCTCAAGAAAGAAGTCAGTCAGTTTACAATGAAATGTTTTTGGTAAGAAGTGAGGCAGGGCATATTCTGAAATACGTAACTGTTTTATGTGTAAACGTACCAGTGAAACTGAAAAAATAAGTAATCCCAAAATTTACTTGAATTTCTTCAGGGAAATGATGCGGTTCAAAAATTCTTTATGACTGCTAAATTTAACATTTTGTTTATGCTTTTGCATATCATCCTTCCTTTATCCAAGACCTGAGAACATGCGGAAAATAATCTAACAGCCCACTATGTCTACGCGTTTAAATGTGCATATAGTCATATATAAATAGGGAGCACTTTTCAATCTTTGCAAGTGAAGACTTCAAAGGCAAGTTCAGACTCCTGAACAAATTAATGGTGACAGCAGGCGACCTAGCTCTTATACTGGGAAACGTATTATAAAGACAGGACATAAATTTGTGATGTTTGAATCTCCTTTAAACCTCTCCATAAAACATGTCCGGGGCGTATCTCAAAGTTTGTAGAAACCCTGACGATTAGGAAGTTAAAGCCACCTTTATGTGTTCAAAAGCAATTCATCATCACACTAAACCTTCTTTGGTATACTTTGTTTCGATACCAGTACAGATATATTATTATCTCCCTTCTTTGGTTCACTGATCTCCAGTGTTATTTTGACCTTCAATATAGCTATTTAACGTGACCTATGTTTATTCTCTCACCCCTCAACGCCTTATTGTCTTCATAAATATCTCTACCTGTGCCATCAAATTGTTGGAAATGTGTTGTGCAAATATACTTTTATATGAACTGTTGGCTTTTGAAATTGAACCATCATTAATAAATCTAAAGAGTGAAGTGGTAAATGTAGATAGATATAAAACACCAGCTACATTACGTCATTTTAAAGCAGTCAATGTTTTCAAATTTGTTTTCACTTATTTATAAGTTAATCAAATCTTTTTATTTGTTTAACACTATGTGATTTTCATTTTCAATCTAGATGATCGAGTAATGAAAAAGTTAACAGGATCAAATGCTAACGTGGAGCAGTTTCTTGTTGAAAATAAAGATATTCTAGGAAAACCACGGCGTAAACATCGTCACCATAGAAGAAGGGGTAGTCGTAGAAGATGTAAACATGGCCACTGTGGAAATAATCATCGTAATTCATATCGCAGTGGAATATCTGGTTCACTAGGTGGTCAAGGTTATCGTGGCGGAAATGGAGGAGGAATGTCACCATTTGGTGGACAAAATATTGGAACACTTCAACAACAAAGTAGAGGTCTAGGTGGTATGTTTGGCCAACCACTTGGTGGTATAAGAAGTGGAGGTCTTGGTGGGATCTTCGGACAACAAGGTGGAGGTATGGGTGGTATGCTTGGTAATCCACTTGGTGGGGTTCTTGGACAACAACGTGGAGGTATGGGTGGTGTGCTTGGTAATTCACTTGGTGGGGTTCTTGGACAACAACGTGGAGGTATGGGCGGTGTGCTTGGTAATCCACTTGGTGGAATCCTTGGACAGCAAGGTGGAGGTATGGGCGGTGTGCTTGGTAATGCACTTGGTGGGGTTCTTGGACAGCAAGGTGGAGGTATGGGTGGAATGCTTGGTGGTATTAAAGGTGCTGCTATAGGTCAGATGGTTTCCGGGCTTGGTGGTGGTGGTGGTGGAGGCATTCTTAAAGGACTTCTGGGTTAATACTGGTGAGACTAAAAAACCAGCTGTATTTACAAAATTACATTGAAATGTATTCTGGACATCCATCAAATCACCTAATCATTTTGCAGTCAAAACGCGAAGACATCTAACTTCTGTTGAAAAAAAATAAATTCCATTCTATTGTATTCTCAATCAAATACAAAATTTATTCTTCTTCCCATCAAAACTGGTCTTTTCTTGTAAATATTGGTTAAATCCATTTCACCCAAAAAATATCAGGTGAAAAATGAATATATAAAAATATATGATGAGGAAGCGATTACTAGAAGGCGAGCATCGGTTGTAATTGTAAGAGTACTTTGTTCCGAATAATGCACAGAGTATGATGAACGTTTAAATATAATACATTTCATATTTCCACTTTGTAAGGTACTGTTATACAGACGCTACAAAATCAAACAGAATTCTGATTAACTAATCTAAATACTAGGAACTTTTATTTCCCGATATAAATTCAAAACAAGCGACAAACGTTAATAAGGCAGAATTTTATGAATACGTCAAACTTCGGTAGGAGTCCTTAGCTGAAGGCTGTGCATACAGTGCAATATGTAGGTTATAAAAATATGCCTAAGTAGATGTGCGACTAATAAATAAACTGCTGTGTGTCAATCTTAGGAAAAAGAAAGACGGAAATGTTCTATAGGTGAAGTTTAGAAAGACAGGGAACGAAAGGGGTCTGAGAGGTTGAGGATTCCCATTACAACAATTATTATAGAGTACAGTTTAAGCAAATACGTATTTTCAGTGAATTCTCATGACACTTTACAATTTCACAACTGCAGACCATGAACTCACTTATAGAACGAAGCTACCCATTGAAGAAATTATTTTAGGAATTCACTTATGCCTCACATCTACAATACTTAAATTCCGAGGCAAAATATTTAGACAAACAGAAGGTGCAGCAATGGGATCACCAATATTCCCTATAGTATCAGATATATTTATGAACAGCTGGGAAAATATAGCTCGTAATACATATAATTCTACTCCGAAAATATAGCGGAGATATGTGGATAACACTTTCACAGTGTTAAAAACAGAACATATCTCTAGCTTCTTGACACACATAAACTCACTAGTGGAGGGAATAAAATTCACATTTGAAACCGAAAATGAGCAAGGAGAATTAGCTATGTTAGATTGCAAAATAAAACGAATAGAAGAAGGCAAACTACACACTAGTGTTTATAGAAAACCAACGCATTCTAATAGATATTTAGACTTTAATTCATCTCATCCATTAACTGTTAAGGCAGGCTTAGTTAAGTGTTTAACAAACCGAGCAATGGCACTAAGTAGCACAAAAAGAGACCTCAATGATGAAATAAAACAGATAGAACAGGCGTCGGTTCTAAATAACTATCCTCTAAAATTCATTAGGAAGATCAGTAAAGACCAAAAGCAAAATAAAAGTAATTGTGAAACTAGTAATGATGACATAAATAAGAGAATATAAGTCATCCACTGTTAAACCATATAAGGAGGGGGCATTTGACACCCTATGTATGTAGGGTTCTGAATAAAACAGGAATTAGGGTGGCATTTAAACCTACAAACTCACATAGGGAAAAGCTCTGTAGGTTAAAGGACACAGTTGACCCAATTAGACAAAATAATATAATTTACAAAATACCCTGCAATTACTGTGAGGTCAACTAAACAGGTCAAACTAGTGGGTCAGGAGTACTCAGATTGTCAGAAAATAAAAATTTAGCTAAGGTAAGAATGGTTGACCCAGAGAAAATAAGTAATTTAGAAAAAAGCTCAGCAATTGCAATGCATGCGTTAACACACAACCACACAATAGGATGTGAGAGGGCTAAAATTCTGAAAAGTAATCTATGTAGGTGGAGAGAGAGGTTGATTACTGAATCTTTGTTCATCGAGTCTACACCCAACACATGCAATAGAAATGACTCATCACTCATACCGGAAATATGGAGAATACTACTACCAATCAAATTAAGCGATGAAAAATAATGGAATTTTTTAAACAAAGTTAAAAAGTTGTGTGAGTACCTTGATATGATTATGAGCAATAAATTGTGCTCGAAACGTCATCAGTAAACATTACTGTATAACACAGTGAGACTTTATCAAAACCAATTTTTAACCCATAATGGAACAACCGTTATAAGTATTTCTTTTGAATACACAGTGTGGGCCTGAAATTTTGGATCGCTAGTGCCTCGACTATACCTAGACGCCTTGGTCTCACTCTCTTTGAGAGAATTGATTGGATCTTGTATAGAACTTTGAAGGACTTTACAAATCGAGCTGGATGTCTTGAGTTCACCTACATTCTCCTTTTGTTAGTCAGGATAGATGCATGGTACGGCCAATCTACTCAGCTTCACAAGAGCAAGTGAAATCGTATATACATGCTGATGTGACTCAATGTGACCGCTTTTCTCTCACATTCTAAAATATAAACCATCCAAATTTGACACCAGTGTGGTTAACAGAATTAAAGTTTAGGCACATAAATTAGTGGATAATAATCCAGGTGATCATAATAATAATAATAAAGAAAAATTCATGTAAGCTTTTGTGTAATCTGGCTAATCAGTCTTTGTCATTATGCATAGTTCTGGAGATATGAGGGAAAATAACTATTGTCTCAGAGCAGTTAGATAAAATTGTTTGTTTTTATAATAAATTGTGAAACTGAGATTAAAATATGTAACTATAAGACAATATGATATTTCATAGTAAAGATATAGTTAACAATACAAATACAGATAAGATTAACAGTTATCCGGTGTTACCAGGACAAATAACCATTTTTAGGTCAGAGGTGAACTCCATGGGTGGGTGAGGGACTGAAGAGACTTCTTCTGAACTTTGAGAATTAAGGTTATGATAGATTATAGTTCAGGTACGCCACCATAATATAAGATTATTTATCATAGACAGACCTTGGAAATGTTAGGAATTTGCAAAATGAATGATAATGATAACAATCACGGAAAGATAATTACACCAACAAATGATAATTTTATTTATTATGTCAGTTGTTGATTTGCAGGAATTTGAGTGGTTGCAAGGTTGGCCACGAGCTGAAATTAGTTAGAGAACCATTGGAAAACCTGAAAGTACTGGACAAATGTTTCGTCCTTTTTTGCGAGTCTTCACAGTACGCACTCACCGGGGTTTGAATCAGGGATCCTACAGTCCAGCGGCCAATCGATTTCTTGCAAACCAACATTTCAGATAACGAATCTGACACTAACTGGCAACTGGATGCATACAGGGAACTAAATATCACCGACTGGCAGAAACTGGAATTCATGAACCAGTGTCTGAATGGTCTTGAAGCTCATATTGTAATTGAAAGTCCCTAGGTTCGAACACTGGTGGGTGCGTGGTGATGAGGAGTCCCGGACTAGGCGGGAACAGCAGCCCAAAACTCACTAGATTTTCCTCTCTTACTGAAATTATCTCATGATCAATCCTGTAGTTTCATTTAAGACAAGAACAGTAGTAAACGGATTAAGGTGGTGACCATTTTTCAACCAAATGGGGGAGTAGGTGAATTTATTAAAATCTACCTTATTAACATTATTTACTTGTTTTAGCATCTAAATTTTCTGTATGTTAATTAACTTACAGAGTGTATGGATTAAATGGAAGGGGTGGGGGACATGTGTAGTGCGTTTCATAGATTGATTTAGAATATTAGTAGTGAGTAGACATTTTGAATAAGATTTGGTTTGGCATTTTAAGAGTAAAAGAAATGCATTTAAAGTAAGTCGAGGTTTAATCAGAAACTTAAAAATTAGTAGAAAATGGTGACTAATCTTTGTTAAATAACTTGCTTTTCTGGAAAATAAATTTCGCTGAACTATATTCACGGAAATGTCACAGAGACATGAATGGAGAAAACGTAAGCTTTTGGAATGGTTGCATTTGGTCCTGCAGATATTTTTAAAGGATAAATCATGTGAGGTTGAATGACCTGACTCCAGAAGGAGTTCACAAACTGAAGACTTTGTCGTCCCAGGCTCACCCTTCATTAACCAAACTGGGTAGTGTACAACTACGCGTATACGGAGAACACGTTCAATGTAATCAGCTCCACAGGAGCATGTGAATGAGATATGCACATAGAGGTGGATATTAGCGGCAGTTTATCCCTTGAAGTATTGTCAAATCATATTTTGTCTGGTAAATACTAAATATAAGTTAGCAGCATAAAAACAGAGTTTAATGCGTTTAGATAAACGACTTTTCATAACTTTAGCTTCACTGTCACTTTTGAACGCCAAACTCACAAACACTGTCTTCTTTGGCAGTGTCATTTGACTGGGGACGGTTTCTTTCTTGATCTTCCCATCAATAAGCCTTCTACAATATTCATTATTTAAGGGAGTTGTGTGATTTTCAATTTCCATGTCAAACATATCTATAGAACAGACTTTCCGAATTCTGGAGCAAAGAGAACAGATAAAATTTATCTTCCTGTCTATAGGTATCCAACTGTTGAAGTTAGTGTACTGCCCTGTAGATATTAACTTTGGGTGAATCGACCTTTTTAACGTGCAATCGTCTCTTCTATCTAGCATCATATCTAAGAAGTGAAATGAGCAATTCTACTATGTGACAGTGAAATGAATATACTAGTGAGAACCATTAACTTTCTCACATTTATATTGACTGAGAAATTTTTAGTGCCACCTGATTCATTTTTCCGTAATATAAATACAACTGTACAGCTTGAAAATGAAGCCACTGAAAAGAAATATTTCTTCACTGAACAAAAACTGTGTTTTTTCTTAAGAACTTATTATGCAGCTTGGCTTTTAACTTTTGGAAAAGCCAACATTATACCCCACTGCGAATCTCAAAAGTGCACAAGTGATTATATGACATTCCACACTACATACCAATTTACGTGTGTGTGTGTGTGGACGCACAAACATAGAGAGGAGTGATCACGCTTTGCATGTGAGGGTAGGAGAGCATCTCCCGAA